GCTGACTTTGTTCGCGGAGAGAGGTAAACGATTCGTTGACGCGTCGCGCAGTAAAAACAACAAGCAAAAAGCAACAATAATATTAATAACAAATCTAACTGTTAGCAGCCGGCAAAAAAAAACATCCTCAAACAATCACGACAAATCTTTACCAATAATGATTTGTTGTTTTGTTTTGCGATTCGCCGTTAACTGGCAAGCTCTGGCCATGCAATTCGTGTGTGTGTGTGTGTGTGTGTATGTGCTGTGTATGTGAGCTCCTTAGAGCTCATCAAACTGTAATTAAAACCCACAAGCAACAGCAACAACGAAAACAATAACAAAATATCTCATTAGAACAAGGCAAACAAAACTTTGCTACAAAAATCTGTTTGTCTATATTTTGTTCAACTTCTCTGCTTTCTGATTTTGTTCCCCTTCTTCTTCCTCTCCTTCTTCTGTGTGCACCTTGTAATTGCTTCAGTTGCAGTGTAGTACACACAACAGCGTTGCCAGATCACTTACTGCTTTCAAACTGTTGTTGTTGCTGTTTAAAATTGAAATGTTTGAACAAGTGAAGAAAAAATAAAACTGGCAAAAACTATGCGATATGCGTTTGTGTGTGCGTATGTGTGTGTATCTCTGTATGGGTGTATGTGTGTGGTCAACATGCAACGTCAATGGCTACTGCAGCAGCCGTAAAAGCAACGAGCGACGACAACAGCGAAAATTTCTTTCGAAAGTGCTGAGAAATTGGTCAAACAACTTTTTACAGTTGTTTTTGTTGCTGTCGTAATTTATACCTTGGTCAATAAACAACAACAACAGCAGCAGTAGCAACAATCGCAATGCAATTGCTTTTGGTCTGCGATATATATACATATATTATATTTTTGTTGTTTTTTGCCTGTTGCCCGTTTCGTATTGCGCGCATGCGCAGATTTATCGCAACATTTTTTTGGTTTTTTTTTTTGTTAACGTTTTTCATTGTTTTTTATTTTTTGTTATGTGTGCGCCTTGTTGTCTAAACAGCGCTTCAAATAAATGCAATGTGCCGCAGTCCAGGATAAGGACAAGCATAGCAAACGCACAATCAACAACAACAACAACACGACATAAACAATACTAAGAATAAACAACAAAATGCGCATCCTAAAGCAATGGTGAGTGGAAGTGTTTTTGGACAAAGATTCGATTTGATTTCATTAACTTTTTCTACGTAATAAATGTTTCCGGATGAAGTCCAAATATTTACCTGCATTTCAACCAAAAGATACATTTGTATCTATCGCATGCATACATACATATCTATATATGTATGCGTGTATCTATGCATAGTTCTATGCTGAGTCGTCTCCTTCTTTGTACACTATGCAACAGCATTTCAATACGATCCTTGTATATAGTCTTCCAGTGTGTATAAACAGCTTCAGATACTTTTTGACATTCTACTGTATCGATATATAGAATATATAAAATTTAAATCTAAACCCATATTTCAATAGCTGAAGAACTTGACTTATATTGAACATAAATACTTTGCTGCATCAGTATTTTGTAAATACATACATATATATATTTAGTTAAAATAGGGATATTGGATAACAATTCTAATAGTTTTTATTAAGGTCAAGATCTACCAAATACCCACAATCCATCTGTCCATCTGTCTAGTAAAACTTACTATCAGCATATATCCATGTATAACGATTTCAGACACCCATTACCGATTACACAGTTACCATATTTGGTATATAGTCTCTTCTTATATCGAGTGCTGCACTTTGCAACAAGTGTTCAAGGTCGAGCGACTTTATTCTCATAAATTCGATATAATAGATATACATATATATATATATTCTAATTAATGAATTAAGATCAAGAATTCATACACTAACTTAGATGATAAATATCGATCTGCATCGCAGAGTGAGAGAATTAGTCTTAGGCATAGTTGCCTTGGCCGCTTGTTGCTTGCCTAATTGTGTCGGACAGTGTAATCGAAACATCGTCTGCCGCCGACTATTGCTATGCACATGTCTATGTATTATGCATATCGTATATCTATTAGACAGACATGCCCATTTCGTATGCAAAACACGCTGACTACTTTATATATATATATATATATATGTCGTGGCCTGTGCCGCAAGCTGAAGTGCGCTCGTCCATACAAATATAAGCATGCATTACATAAACAAGACAAAATACAAAATACAAAAAACATTCGGCGCGTCGAGCAGAGCGGGAGGGAAAAATGATCTGCAGATGCATATTTCATTTTGCATGTGGCAAGGAATTTGCGGTCCCATCAACAATTGCATTTCAAATATTTAGCCAATTTTTGGCCGGCAAATAGAAGACGTGGCGAGGTGGCATAACTGGCACGTCAGTTGTTGCCACAAATGCCTCAGCCTCTACCTGCCACATTGGAATTGCAATTGCAGTTGGCCGAGTGCAAAAGCCGAGCTATAAACCGAAACCGAAACCGAAGCCAAAACCGAAACCGAAACCGAAACCTGACCACAACATCGGGCAACGTGTTGCATGTTTTGCGATTCGTGCCTCCGGAGATGGTTGGCTGATTGATTTGCCATTGGGGATGCTGTCGATTGCCAGTGAATGCAGCTTGTGAGATAAAAGTCGAGATAGACGACGAACCGCAACCAGGAAATTGACACTTCAGCAGCTGACAATGTTTTTCAGATTGTGGCAAGCAAACCAAATGAAAATTGACTTTGATTTCTCTGTTCGACTTCACCCAAAGCCAACAGAACTCCCACTGATTATCCTGCTCTGCCATGCACATATTCTCACTCACTCCAAGGCAACTCAAATCCGAATTTGTATTTCCATAACAAATATTTGCCAACTCCATCAAAGAAAGAGTTCAACCTGCCAAACGCATCTAAAAAGTTCTATGTTAATTCACATTAATTATTCAACTTGGCACATACGAATAAAGCAAACTCTAATTAAAACGTTTATAATGTTTGCCCCCCGTTGGCGACTGGGATTGGCCTCTGCACAGCGCTTAAATGAAGCAGCTGCCCTCCTGGGCCTGCTTGGCAGCCACATACCTTATTAAATATTGATCCACACCTGTTTGCTCCATGTAATATACAACTTCAATCAAATTCATTAGCTTATTAATTGACAGTTGCTGAGCAACTGATTACACTGTCAACTGACTTACGCTAATATGATTCCAGCTGTCCGAATGCTTCATATGCAAGCTTGTCCGATTCTAATAATGATGAAAATAGTAGTAATGATGATGAAGTGTAACTAATATTAATGGCAATGACAATGACAATACCAATAAGAATAACAATGACAATGACAATGACAATGACAATGACAATGACAATGACAATGACAATGACAATGACAATGACAATGACAATGACAATGACAATGACAATGACAATGACAATGACAATGACAATGACAATGACAATGACAATGACAATGACAATGACAATGACAATGACAATGACAATGACAATGACAATGACAATGACAATGACAATGACAATGACAATGACAATGACAATGACAATGACAATGACAATGACAATGACAATGACAATGACAATGACAATGACAATGACAATGACAATGACAATGACAATGACAATGACAATGACAATGACAATGACAATGACAATGACAATGACAATGACAATGACAATGACAATGACAATGACAATGACAATGACAATGACAATGACAATGACAATGACAATGACAATGACAATGACAATGACAATGACAATGACAATGACAATGACAATGACAATGACAATGACAATGACAATGACAATGACAATGACAATGACAATGACAATGACAATGACATGACAATGACAATGACAATGACAATGACAATGACAATGACAATGACAATGACAATGACAATGACAATGACAATGACAATGACAATGACAATGACAATGACAATGACAATGACAATGACAATGACAATGACATGACAATGACAATGACAATGACAATGACAATGACAATGACAATGACAATGACAATGACAATGACAATGACAATGACAATGACAATGACAATGACAATGACAATGACAATGACAATGACAATGACAATGACAATGACAATGACAATGACAATGACAATGACAATGACAATGACAATGACAATGACAATGACAATGACAATGACAATGACAATGACAATGACAATGACAATGACAATGACAATGACAATGACAATGACAATGACAATGACAATGACAATGACAATGACAATGACAATGACAATGACAATGACAATACAATGACAATGACAATGACAATGACAATGACAATGACAATGACAATGACAATGACAATGACAATGACAATGACAATGACAATGACAATGACAATGACAATGACAATGACAATGACAATGACAATGACAATGACAATGACAATGACAATGACAATGACAATGACAATAACAATGACAATGACAATGACAATGACAATGACAATGACAATGACAATGACAATGACAATGACAATGACAATGACAATGACAATGACAATGAGTTCACTGCCCTTTGCGTCTCTATCATGGCTTCGCTTAATCGCACCGCGATCTCGATGGTAATCTGCTTACACAAAAACAGAAATAATGTTGTTTTTTAGACAGGAGGCTCCAAACCTGGGGGCTAGACAATAACTTGGGTAAGCCTTCGTCGTGGCGCGATATCATCTGCATTTCCAATTAGGAAGGTAAAATTGATAATGATAATAATGTGTATAATAGTAAATAGGCTTCGAGAAGTGCAATGAAGCATTCTTGTTGTGACTTCAACACCTTAAAGACTACGCAGTGATTGTCAAACTGTAACTTGAAGGAATATAGAAGGGGTTTTGTTGACCTATTCGGCTCCGAAGAGCCAATCTTCAGTTATGCTTTTTGTAATCCATTCACTTTACCTTAAACTTACTGGCATTTTCTTAAGCAAGCTTACTAACTCGACTCTTTTGCTCTCTTTGAAGGCCACGCCGGCGTTCCGGCTCCAGCATTGTGGTCATTGATGGCGACGATCTGAAGCCATGTCTGCCGGATGATTACATTAGCGGTCAGCACCATCATTTGCATCATCAGCAACAGCAACAGCAGCAGCAGCATCAGCAGCAGCAGCATTATCGCTCGCACTCAGGTGATATTAGGGAGATTGATCAGGAAATGCTGACCATGTTGTCGGTCAATCAAGATAACGGTAAGCGCAACCACCTTGTCCAATAGCTGTTAACTGCTATTTGCCAATTGCTGGCTAATTATAACGAATTGCTTCATTCGTCCGCAGGTCCACATCGCGAGATGGCCGTCGACTGTCCCGATACGTTTATAGCGCGCAATAAGACGCCACCCAGATATCCGCCACCCCGTCCGCCACAGGTAAGCAAATCAAGTCACCAACCACCCACCGCCCTACGTCGTACGCCCTACTCCCTACGCCCACTAGCTGCTGACCCACCCAAACTAACAACTATCACACGAAAAAAGAAAAAGCCATTCACAACCAACAACCGCTAACAACAACTACAATAGTCGCTAACAACAACAACAATAACAACCACAATAAACACAAAAACACTCCCGAAATGCATGCACCTAGCTTACTCAACCACACAACCACTCATTTCATTTCGCATTGCATTGCTCACATGTTCCACCTGCACCACGCATCATCCACAACACAGAAACACAACACCAACCACACAACAATCACCAGTATCATCAGCACCAGCACCACCACCACCAACAACACCACCAACACCAACACCACCCAGAACACAACTAAAACTAAAAATGATCATGCTAACAAATTGTTAATTGTTGCATATCATTCTTCACATCAACATGAACAACAACAACAACTACATCATCATCATCAACAACAACAACAACAACACTCATCAAAAACAACAACAACAACAATTGCACTTGATGTGGCCACTCAAAATTTGTACAATCAAAAACAACAAACGAAATTGGAACAAATCGAAAACTATGAAAACGATCTGCAAACGGAGCAGCAGCAACAACTGGCAGCAGCAACAGCAACAGCAGTAGCAACAGCAGCAGCAGCAACATGTGCGCAGACAGCGCAGCAGCAAATGCCCAGCTACAAAAAGCCAGCCGCATTTGACAGCAGCAACAATCAGCAGCACAGCAGCAGCAACAGCAACAGCAACAGCAACAACAATGTTGCTGACGAGTTGCTGTGCGTGGTGGATGAACTCTATTGCAAGGGCGACAGCTCGCCATCTTCGAACAGTTTCGATGATATGTTGAGCAAACAGACGCTGGAAACATTTGAGACAATTGCATATCGTCACCTGCAGCAGCAGCAAACGACGAGCAATTGCCTTGGCAGCAGCAACACCAGCAGCAACGGCAACAGCAATGGCAACAACAACAACCATAGCAGCAGCGGCATAACAGCCACGCCCAATAACAACAACAGCAACAGCAACTCCTTGAACAGCACACGAAGCAGCAGCAACAGCTCCATGCACAACAGCAGCAACAGTCACAGCAGCAACACCAACAGTGCTGCAGCATCCACAACGAGCAGCTCAACGATGCCCGATGATTTGAGCATGGCGCCGCCTGGTTATGAGCCGGCCAGCAATCAGTTGCTGCTGCCGGCCAAGCATCGCGAGCTGCCCGTCGATGTGCCCGATAGTTTTATTGAGATGGTCAAGACGCCGCCTCGTTATCCGCCGCCAGCGCATCTATCATCGCGCGCCTCGCTGCTTTCGAACGCCAGCTCCTCGAACGCATCCACAGCGCAAACGACGCTCTCGTCGCTGGGCGTAGTTGCTGCTGCGCCCGCCGCTATTGCTACTGCTGCTGGTGCTCTTGTTACCATTGCTGGCGATGGCAAGCGAATTGCTGACGAGGTATATCAACAACCACAATAGTATTTCAATGTAGTAACCCTTTCAGCTTCCACGTCGCACCTCTCCCTCTCTCTCTCTCTCTCTCTCTCTCTGCCTATCTCTGTCTCTGTAATGCTCTGTCCTAGTTTAAGTTTGACCACGTAATTTATCAAGTTGGCTGGCAACAGCAATTGCCATGACCGACATTCCTTACTAAGCACTCGATTAGCCCCCTTAAACCAGCATAGTTTTTTTCCTTTTCACTATCTCCCTCTCGCTCTTCGCCCCTTTGTGTCACATCAGTTGGCTTTCGCGCGTCATTCGCTGCCATTTTATGACATAAATCAGCAGCAATTTGCATTTCATCAGAATTTCCGCTGCCTGCCAGCTGCAACTGCAACTGAAACTGCGCCCTGACTTTTTTCACACATATCGCAGCAACAGTTGCTCCGGCTACAGCAGCAACAGCGACAACTCGCAACGTTTACCGCTGCAATTTCCGCAAGCTGTTTTCTTTCCTCCTCTCTCTCTCTCTCTCTCTCTCTCTCTGCCTCTTAACTCTGCACAGAGTCATTAATCTCTGTTCATAATTTCTGTACAGCTTGAACAATTTCGCCTTAACTTTTCGCCCATCTCAAATATCGATCAATTTATAAACTGATTATAAAACTTTCTTCTTTTGATGCGCAAAGTTATTTAACAAGAAAATTTCCCTCGACTTGAGCTGACTGCGAAATGCTCTTAGTTGAGGTGGCCTTTGAGAGACGCTCGACAGTACAGTGGCTGTCAAACTTCTGTATTCTATTAACTATATATATATATTCGGCTTAGCCATGGATGATTCCCGACATTGCCGCAATGTAAAAGTTTTGTTAATTCCTAAAAACCCGCTTCTGTATACAGATAGCGGTCGGAAAAGCGAGTTTTACTCTCCGTTTTTCATTATAATTTTCAACTTTTTTATTGCGCAATAAAAGTGTTAAGCAATCCAACGCCAACAGCCAGCTAAATGTAATCCAATTTGTAGTTTTTGTGAACTATTAAATAATTAAGTGAAAAGATATATGTTTATAGAATATATATATATATATATATATGAAATATATATACCTAAGGCTAATTTATGTCATTGCAATTGGCTCAATGAGTGTTAATTGCTGAAAAGCTCTTCTTCTTGAAGCATTGTGCATGGGGAACTGCATTGCTTAGCCAATGAACTCTATTTGTAGAGTGTTCGGGCAACTTTATTGTTCTTCTTCTTGTCTCCTTCTCTCTCTCTCTCTCTTTCTCTCTGTGTCTCTCTTTCTCTTTGTTTATCTATTTATCTCTGTGTTGCTCCTTTTATGGCTTTTTAATTTAATTTCTTCCTGAGCGAGGCTCCGCTTACGCCCTTTGGCATTTGTTGCCAGCGTCTCTACGTCTGGCCTAATTTCCTTGGTTGTTAGCCAATGGAGCACTGTCCTCGTTAGTAACATAATCCTAAGCCTTACCAACGCCACGCCTTGCCAACATAGTATTACTGCAATTGTGTCTATGTATATATACGTCTGTGTGTGTGTGTGTCTACGGAACTTAAGCTCAATATTTAGATATTACAAATACAAATTGCGACTGATAAATCTGTTGCAAAAATAGCTAAAGGTAAATAAATTTACACAAAACTTAATATTAATTCCTGTTTGTATAATAACAATAAGCAGCAGCAGCAAAATAAGACATAGTTGGGGGCGTGACTTGGGTTAATGGCTGCAAATGCGACCGAGCAGCAACAACAATGCAGGCAACAACAGCAGCTGCAAGAAATTCAGCTACATCCATAAATTTCATACAAGTGCATTACTCTCGCTCTCACGCACACACACACACACACACACACAGACACACAACACACACACACACACACACAGACACACACACACACACACACACACGGACACACACAGAGTCACACAGACATCAACTCTTGCATGCGTTTACATAGTCACAAAGAGAAAAACAAAACTTAAAAATCTTAACTAATGCATATTTGTTTTACCTGCTCTCTCACTCTCTCTCACTCGCACACTCACACACTTGCAGCTTAATGGCAATGCCAAGCCTTTGCCGCCGCCACGTGATCATCTGCGTATAGAGAAGGATGGACGCCTCATAAACTGCGCCCCAGCGCCACAGTTGCCAGATCGCCGAATACCCGGCAACGGCAGCGCCGTTCAACACCAGCATCAGCAGCAACAACAGCAACAACAGCAGCAACAGCAGCAAATAGCGCAGGTTGTGGCGCCAACGCTAGAGCAATTAGACAGCATTAGAAAATATCAGGTGAGCGAAGAATGATAAATCAATAAATATAAATACATATGTACATACATACACATGTACATATATATATAATATTGGTTCCATAAATATATCGACTCTTTGAAGACAACATGAAAATTGTAAATTGATTTTCGCTTTGCGCCTGCTGTTAGGCTATGCAAAACGTGTAAGCGAGACTGCCTAAACTCGTTAAGTGGCTATCAAACTGTAGGCATGTTGTGCGAAACACTCTTAATATGACACGATCATTTCTGAACGAAGCAAATGTAATGTGAATATAAAGAAAGTAAAAACAACATTGAGCAAATGTTGTGGAAACTCAACTTCGATAGTTACTATTATTACAGGGTATCTGCCGTTTCTATCAGAGAGTCTTATGCTGCCGATAATCTAATCTAGCTACACACCTACAATTTGCCTTTTGTATATTTTAAATTCCTACTATTGCCTACCCCTCAGAAATGATTGACAAAGGGTATATCACGTAGCTTGTGATTCAAGTCAAAATGCTCTATACTCTATATATCGATAAATATCAATTATGAAAGCGCATGGTATTGATTTTTCGAATCTCAAGAACTTCTCTATAACTGTATATATAACTAAAAATATAACTATAACTTCTCTATAACTATAACTATAACTATAACTATAACTATAACTTCTCTATAATAATATTAGACTGTTAAATATATGTGTGAGATATGATATACTTAGTGTATACGATATACATATATATGTATGTGTACATTTCGTATATCAGATCAGATATACCCTAGGCACGCACAGCTGCGCCAGTTGTGTTCATTCGAACTTTTCCACTTTGTCATTTGAGTGCCGCATTTCCATTGAGATGATTAAATGCGGTAAAAGTTTTCCGTCAAGAACGTCCACGCGCCCAGTGATTGCCAAACTGTGCGCATATGCAGAATAGCCAACAATTGGGAAACATCGAACGACGCGTCGTCACAGTCGAGTGCAGAGCGTCATTTAACATGCCAGGCAAGTGGCGAGAGTTCCGCATGCCGCACTCGCCCGCTCACCTTTGAATGTCAACCGCTCGAACGACCCCCGCCCTTGCCCCGCCCACTTCGCCAGCAGCTTTGTTTGCACGACGACAATGGACGTAGCTGTTGACGGCAGCTATGGCAACGCTTCCGGTTCGACATTCGGTTTCTGCTTCTGCTTCTGCTTCTGCTTTTGCTGCCGATTTGTATTGCTGTTCTTGTGCCATTGGCCATTGACCAATGGGTGGCCAGTGCATTACAAACCCATCCAAGCGTAGCTCTCAAACTGTTAAATACTAAAACTCAACCATCTGCGTAGCAGGAACTGCCGCTGCTTTTAGCTAGTAAAACAATTACAAAGTTTACCGCACAAAGACAATGCAAACGAGGCAGCGCGCGCCTGGTCAATGAAAAGCGTAGGTGGCCAAGGGGGGAGGGGGAGAGTCGGAAATGGGGAATGAGGAGAAGCGTGAATAAAAGTTGCCAAACAACTTTTTCTCTGCGCCGCACTTTTAACTAAATGCAAAAAGGGACGGCAGAGGGAGTGGGGGGGGGACGGGGACAGCGTAGAGACAGCGTCAAACAATAACAAGTAGTTAAATGCGTGGGCGTTATTTTAGCGTCAATATAGAGTGCGTAGGTGGCGAGGTGGAGGGCACGGAGTGGCAGGTAAGACGTTACTCAAAAGTCCGCTGAACGGAGGAAAGTTGCAGTAATTAATTATGCAAAGTTTTAATCGATGTGTGTGCGAGGGTGGGACAACTTTGAGAGCAGCACGTGGTATGAGAAGGGTAGGGGTAGAGAAAGGCCTTACAGTTCACTTGTTAAACAACAGCAAGTCGGAAAGGTAAAGCCAAATGTAAAATTAATTAAAGCAAAACAGTTAAAGAGCTACTAAAGCGCAGCGCGCTGCTCAAACTGTAACATTAACGACCGCTTGCTGAGCAAGAGAGAGAGAGTGGAATTTCTGAACTAAATAATCCATATAGTTGACCCATATATTAAATATTATTAACGATGCATGAAATCCACTTGAATTGAGTTTATCTCAGTGCTTAAACTCGCAATTGAAAGGGGTTCTGAAGCATCAATAGTTCATGCCACTCAAGATCTTATTATTAATTATGCCATTTAAGATCTCAAGGTAAAGGTGTTCGTCGTCCTTATCGTCGTACTTTGCATTTGCCTCTGCATATTACGAGCTACAAAAAATCATTTACAAAGAACTCACGGTATTTTAGATCGTCTGATCTGTCTATATGCTAAGCTCTATATTGATAATCTGCTTTATTGTGAGCATCAGCTGTTGCGCGAGTATTACATAATTTAGCTTAACTAATTCAAAGCGTTTAGGCCAACTGGCTATAGGCTCAATCCCAACTATACATAAAACTCATAGATTTAGGTGTATAATGGAAAAATCAGGGATCAATATGCACAAAAAGCCGCCGTCGGGATACTCCCGTCGTAATGCAGTAAACAGGAGAAAATATTTCGTAATGTGAAACTCAATTTTCTTATGCTGACTCTATGAGAGGTGATCGCTTGGCCAACTGACACTCAAACTACTTATACTACATATCCCATTAAACATTGATGCAACTATTGTAAAAATTAAATGAAAACTTGATCTGATATTATACATACGGGGCACAGAGACGACTTATAGATACCATATGCTTGACCAGCATTAGTCATCGTCTACATCGTATATCTTATCAGCATCATCTCATCCTATGTTCGTGGCCCATGTGCATAAAACCAATATGCCATCTTGAGTTAGGGTGTTTTACCGTAGGGTAAGCACTTGACTATGCTCTCTCTCGTTCTCTTTGTCTCTCTGGCTCTCACGCCATGTTCTAAGGAGATGCAATTGCATTTTTTTGTTTTTTTTTTTTTTTTTTTTTTTTTTTTGCCATGCCAACGGAGTTGAATGGTAATCAAACAATTGCTTTTGTTTTTTGTTGAATGTCGGGCGTATTCATTTACGGATTGACCTGTTGTTAACTATGAATGGACCAAGTATGCCGTTAGAAAAAGGGGTTGTCAATGTTGTTGTCAAATACGTTTTGCTTTCATGTGCTTTGGTGCTTTGCAGTATTTTTGCCCCAAGTACGTAAATTCGTTAAGCCGTTTTTTTCATTTATTTATACGACAATTGGCAACGATGTCGCAGTATTAACACACACACATGCATTCATACATACTCTCTACACATGCACAGTGGCACTCATAAGCAACAAAAGTCATCGCATTTGTTTCACACATTGCGAGCTCTCTTGTTGTTTTTGTTGTTGCGACTGAAAACTTGGCTCACACTCACTCAGACGCTCACACAGCGACTAAAAAATCCCACTCAAAAAAAGCACACGCACGCACACACACGTCCAAGACACTCGCAGACACACACACACAGACAGAAACCTGCGCTCACTTTACAATTACTCATGCGCCCGCCATGCACTGCTTGTGGGCTTCAGAGCGAGGGGGCAGCGCAGCGACAGCGGCCGCGACTGCGGAAGAGAGGCAAAGACAGAGGAAGAGGGAGAGAGGGAGTGGAAGCGTGCTTGGGCCGCTTTACCGCTCATTTGTTATGATTTTTCAGTTGGCATTTTTAGTTGTTTTTCTACGCGTTCTGCGATCGGCCGCATTTTCAGCTTTTGCTCTTCGGGCAACGTGCGTGTGTATAGACAGTGCTTATGTGTGAATATGTGTGTGGGGGCGATAAGTCATATGAACTATGAGTATATCGGCTATATAGTCGCATATTTTGTTGGCCATAAAATGAATTAGTTTTTTTATTTTTTTTTTTCATTGTGAACTACTGAATGTGTGTGTGTGTGTATTTTGCCAACTAACAGTTGTTGTGCGCCATTTAACCCTCACTTCGGTGCAGTTTGAGAACCAGTGCAGTTTTAGAGCCACTGCTGGGCTGGCAACAGTTTTCAGACAAATAAGGCGCGGCCCACAGCAACTGTGTTGAAAGCACGTCGCAAAAATTAATAAATAAATAAATAAAAATATAAAAGTAAATATAAATAAATTACAAAATCGTACAAAAAGACATTTACAATGTCATTTATGGGCAATGGGCGTACGGCCTAAATGCAACGGCAGCGGCAGCAGCAGCCAACTCGACAAATGAAAGCCAAAACAGCAGCAACGAGTTGAACGTACTGCCAAAAAAGTAGCAGCAACTATGCAACTGCGTTGCCAGTAGCATCATCTCCTGCTCAGAGAGGACAATAGCCACAAGGCAACCCTGTGGGCAGCACTGCGACGCTGTTCGCCAACTGTAGTTCCAAGAAAAAAAACTGCAGGTGCTCCTTACTGAACATCGGTTTCAATTTTCAGACGCACGGCAACACTGTACGCTGCTCCTTTTCTGCGTGAACACGCAACAGTAAAAGTTAGGCCTAAAACGACACGGCAGCACAGCAACACTGTTCTGTTGGTCATTCAGCTGCTCCTGAATCCTTTGAGAACAATCACAATCACTGGATTGCAGTGGCCGCTTTGAGCGACTTTATCATGCAGAACAAGAGTCAATAAGATCAGTCCTTTAAGGCAGCGCCAAGCATCGATCAGGCATGGCCATCATGTCAGTTCGTCATTCAGTGTGATAGAAATTGCTGGCAACTAAACTGCGTGGGGAATGCAGCTGTTGCCTTTGTACGCTGACTCACGACGCTCAATTCGCATTGGAAATATCGAAAAGACACAACAACAACAAAATATAAATTATCATAGTAAACAGTAAAACGTAAACAGTTTTTTTTGGTTGTTTTTTTATAAATTTCTTTTTTTTGGTTTGTGAACGTCATCATAAAAAATGCAGCAGCAGCAACGTCAGCGTCTCATTTGCAATGCGACGCACGTTAAGGGCAACAGCAACAGCAACAGCAACAATTGAATGAAAACAAAACAAAACATATCAAAATATACATATATTTATGCAAATAAATAAATAAATAAATGCATAAAAGTAAAAAC